GAGATAAAAAAAAAAGTTTATGTTTTGTGGCTTTGATGGCATTTGTACATTTATTTCTCAGTTGTCGAAAACTCAACCAATCAGTGTCTGAGCCAGATTTTCTCGCTGCAGCCAAAGATGATAGCTTTTGTACAGGAGGTCAGCTAGCTCTGGAGTAAACCAGGGGCTGTCTCGTCCCTTTATTCTGAACTGACGAAAAGGAGAATGTTTGTTCACAAAATAAATGAAACTATTATGAAAATAGTTCCAAGCAGTGTTCACGTCGTATATATAAATACGTAAAATTGTGATGAGTTATTTATTTTGTTATATTACTTATAGATGATTATTGTTTGAATTGATAGTTTGAATTTATTTTGTTTTAAACAAGGGGCAGATATGATAAGATTTTTTCTTCTTCTGCTACCTTTCATTTTATGATGTTTTTTTTTTCTCATTTGGTTTCTAAATTGTTTTTGTGTTTTAAATATGAAATGAATAAAAATGACAAACAAACAAACGTTGTCAGTTAATAGAAAACAATGCCAGTCAAAGTGGGATAGATCCCAGAGGAATGACTATTCGCAAAAAACGTTTCAGATCCTTTTTTGAATTAATCTGGGCTTAGAAGGTGGAAGTTTAATATCTCTGCAAGCCGCTATTACACAATGAACACTCAAAATGTCAGCAAATACACCTGTACCAGGGAATTTGTGAGGCATATTTGTTAGAAACAGATCTAAGATGGAAAATTTTTAGAACAGTTTTTGTTTGGTCTAGTGGGAGAGTCCATCAGTTGGGTTAGATTTAGTGACAGGCAACATTCCATGAATTTATCACAGAGGGGGGTTGACTTGTTCCAGTCAATGTTGAAATCTCCTGCCAAAAAAATCTCTTTGAATTTTAAATTTCCAAGGAATTCTATCAGGGAGGACAGAGCCTCAGGTGTTGCTGAGGGGGGATGATAACCCATTATTTAGGGTCATCTGTCCTGTCTATACAGTATTATTGAAAGACTACAATATTATTGATGGACCTCTGCCCTTTTTGTACAGTAATATTGAGGGTCCATTGTCTTGTCTGTACAGTATTATTTAAAGACCTCTGTCCTGTCTCTACAGTATTATTAAAGGGTCTTCTGTCCTGTATGTAAAGTAATATTGAAGGACATCGGTACGGTCTAAAAAAGTTAAATCTGGTCCTCTGGACATTAAAAAAAATTGTGGAAATGTTTTGTCTTTCCTCCGAAAGACTTCCTCAGTCTGAGGTGTGGTATTCAGCTCAGTCTTATAAATAGCACCTTAACATAGTGGATCAACCAGTTTGCTGCTGACAACCAAACCAGCTGCTCTCATAATCAAGGAGGACAAACAGCCTAATGATGGTTCATTAGCACACTGATATCTGTTTGCTATTCACAGGGGGCTGAGTGATACTAGCAATAACAGCAGAGTAAGAGGGGGACAAGTGAACATGGAGGCCTCCACCCCTGTTTAATGATGGACGGTTTCTTTTCACAAAAATGGCCTCCTTTATTCCTGTCTCAAACTATAATTTGTCTCTATCAAGGATGTGAACATCTTCATCCCTGAAAGAGTGACTGCTGGCCTGGAGATGAGTGTAGACCACAGCGTCCTGGCCTGATGATGTTGATCTTCTGTGCTGGTCCATCCTTTTGGCCAGTGGCTGTTTAGTTTCCCCAATGTAAGACTAATCACAGCCCTCCTGACACTGAACAACATACACAATATTACTCTGTTTGTGCCGGGGGACTGGATCTTTGGGATGAACCAGTCTTTGCACGTAAAGAGTGATGTGATTTCAAAAGAGACCATTGCTCCATCATGGAGTCTGATGCAAAAATGGTCTCTTTTGATGTCACATCACTCTTTACGTGAATTCCTGTTGATGGTGCAGTAGAGGTGGTCAGTTTAAAATTAAAATCAGACACCACTCTGAGCAGCAGGACCACGCTTTCTACAGAACAACTGTGTCAACTCTTGAAACTGTGCCTGCAGTCAACCTACTTCACATACGGTGAGCAATATTATAGGCAGAAACATGGGTGTGCTATGGGGTCTCCAGTTTCTCCTATTGTTGCCAACCTGTACATGGAGGAGGTAGAAAAGAGAGCCTTGACGTCCTTTTCAGGGACACCACCAAGCCATTGGTTCAGGTATGTTGACGACACCTGGGTTAAAATTAAATCTCAGGAAGTTCAAAATTCCACTGACCACATCAACTCTGTGGATAAATACATCAAGTTCACACGAGAAGATGTAAAAAATGGCAGGTTGGCTTTTTTGGACTGTGAGGTCTCAGTTTCTGATAGAGGACTTTTGCAAACTGAGGTGTACCGCAAACCCACCCACACAGACCAGTTTTTTCAGTTTGACTCCCATCACCCTTTGCAGCAGAAGTGAAGAGTGACAGGCTCTGTCCCTGTCTGTTTTCTTTATATTTATTTGTGTTCCCCACTCTGCTTTTTGTACTTTTGTTGTTCTGCTCTTTGTGTGATTTCTGTTCCTTTATATCTGATTCTGTTGTCATTTTCCACTCGCTCCTCAGTCTGCCTCTCCAGTCCTCAGTCTTTATCATTCATACCTGTCCCTCATCAGCCACCTGCCCAGGTGCTCTCATTACTCACTCTCCCTCTGTCTTATAAAAAGCCTTTATCTCCTCCACTCCTCGTCTGGTCATTGTTCTGTTCTGCACAGACAACATGGTCCTCCTCTGTTCCTTGTGCCGGGTATTTGTCCAAGTTTGAATCTGTCCTGTTGTCTGCCTGGATCCTGCCTGTAGTTTTGCTGCCCCGTCAGCCGGTTTTTTTTTTTGTTTGTTTAAATAAATTGTTTTTATTTAAACTCCTGCCTCGCTCGCCTACCTGCAAATGGGTCTAAACACTGAGGATTGTGATAAAGAGCCATCAGGACTCTGTACCACAGAGCAGACAGCATCCCCACTAGCTCAGGAGCCAGGCAGAAGGAGAAATCCTACACAAGACAGGCTCTAGAGCAATGTGGATATCCTAACTGGGCCTTCCTGAAAGCAGAGAAGAAACCCAAACAGGACTCCAGCCAGCCATCAGGTGAAAAGGAGGAACCCAGACCTAGACCAGTGGTCATTCCATATCTTGAGGGAGTATCAATTCAATTCAATTCAGTTTATTTATATAGTGCCAAATCACAACAAAGTTGTCTCAGGGCACTTTACAGAAACATTCACATACATAAAAGCCAATTAGTAAAGTTCTCTATTTAAGGAGGCCAGCAGACAAGTTGAATCTTGGCTTCTTTGCAGTCTCCTATCCTGAGCAAGCACAGTGGCAACAGTGGAAAGAAAAAACTCTCTTTTCAAAGGAAGAAACCTCCAGCAGAACCAGGCTCAGGACAAGCGGCCATCTGCTTTGACTGGCTGGTTGAAACCGAGAGAAACAGAGAAGCTGAGACTTTTATTTTCTAAACATAATGTACCAGTGGCTTTTAAAACCCAAAACACATTATAGCAAAGACTGGTTCATCCCAAAGATCGAGTCCCCCAGCACAAACAGAGTAATGTTGTGTATGTTGTTCAGTGTCAGGAGGGTGATCAGTCTTACATCGGGGAAACAAAACTGCCACTGGCCAAAAGGATGGACCAGCACAGAAGATCAACATCATCAGGCCAGGACTCTGCGGTCTACACTCATCTCCAGGCCAGCAGTCTCTCTTTCAGGGATGAAGATGTTCACATCCTTGACAGAGAGGAACGATGGTTTGAGAGAGGAGTAAAGGAGGCCATCTTTGTGAAAAGAAACCGTCCATCATTAAATAGGGGTGGTGGCCTCCGTGTTCAACTGTCCCCCTCTTACAATGCTGTGATTGCTAGTATCACTCAGCCCTCTGTGAACAGTAAACAGCCATCAGTGTGCTAATGATCCATCGTTAGGCTGATGGTCCTCCTTGATTATGTGAGCAGCTGGTTTGGCTGTCAGCAGCAAACTGGTTGATTCACTATGATAAGGTGCTATTTATAAGACTGAGCTGAATACAGCACCTCAGACTGAGGAAGTCTTTCGATGGAAGACAAAACATTTCTACAATTTTTTGTTTTGGTTTTTTTGAATGTCCAGAGGACCAGATTTAACTTTTTTTAATGTTTCTACCTGGATTATTGAGCATGCATCTGAACAACTGTACAGTCTTTACAATATTATAAATGGTCATCTGTCCTATCTGGACAGTATTATTCAGGATTTTTTTCTCCTGTAATGAAATTTTGAGGGACCTCTGTCCTGTCTGTACAATAATATTGAGGGTCTTCTGTCCTGTCTATACATTAGTTTTGACGGATCTCTTTCCAGTCCATACAATATTATAAATGGTCTTCTGTCCTGTCTGTACATTTCTATTAAGGGTCTTCTGTAATGTTTGGACTCACCTCTATCCTTTATGTACAATATTATTGAGCATCCTCTCATTTTTCTGTACGGTAATAATGAAGGACCTCTGTCCTGTCTGTTTAGTAATATCGAGGGTCCTCTCTCCTGTACGAATAGTATTTTTGAGGTCTTCTGTCCTGTCTTCACATTTATATTGAGGGTCCTCATTCCTTTCTGTACATTATTACTGGGGGACCTCTGTGTGCTCTTCATAATATTTTTGAGGGTTTTCTGTCCTGTCTGTAGTGTTATTGAGGGCTCTTTGTCCAGTCTGTGCAGTTATTTTGGGTGTCCTATTTCCTGTCTGTACAGCACTATTGAATTACCTCTGTCCGGTCAGTACAATATTTTAGAGGGTCTTCTGTCCAGTCTGTATAGTAACATTGAGAGACCTCTGTTCAGTCAGTACAGTATTTAGTGTCCTCTGTCCTTTCTGTACAGTTTTACTGAGGGATATATCTCCTGTATGTACAGTATTACTGAGGTCTTCTGTCCTTTCTCTTCAACATTATTGAGAGTCCTCTGTGCAGTCTATAGTATTATTGATGGGTCTCTGTCATGTTTTCCGGGTAATATTGAGGTATCTCTGTCCTTTCTGCAGTGCCTTGGTCCCTGTCTTCAGTCTGAACAGCCTCGTACCAGTCGCAGAGACTCCCTACAGTTCACTAATGATGGCTTCCAGATTGAAAGTGACCCAAGCAGAGGGAATACCAGATGCTTGAACATCATTCCCAGGCATAGCACCTTCCCATGGCCCAGGAACCAATTTCCTTCCCTGGAGAGGCAGAACCGTCACTGCTCCACCTGTGGTGCTTACACTAACCACATCTCCAAGGGCAGCCCATTAGTCAGGTGGGGCCGAGGAGATGAAGATGAGTACAGCAGGAAGCAGCGTCGAAAGCAGGGTCAGAAGATGGTTTGGTTCAAGGAGTGCAAAGACTCCTCAGACATAGAGGTGGAGATCATTCCGGACACTGTGGGCAAAATGGAGGAGGAGACTGAGGAAGAGCTGGAGGTGGAGATGGAGGTCGTTATCAGAGATCAAGCTGGCCCTCTGAGCAAACTTGAAGGTAGGCAAGAGAGTCAGCCCATTGTACTGAACAATGAGTTGAATCCTGGAAATACAAGCTCAGACAAAAAGAAAGGAGAAGCAGAGGAGGAACATTGAAGAAGCAGAATGCTTCTGGTTTTATCATCACATTTTGGATTTGATCGCCCAGAGGCCTCTGCAGTCCAGGTGTACATTTGCAACATCTGAACAGCTGTCAAAGTGTACTGATCCATGGACATGACGCATGTTTTTCTGTTAATGTGAGTGTTTTAAACACAGCACAGGGTCACAGATATAAACCAGAAACACATTTAAAGAACGTCAGCCTTGTGAAAACTAGGGTCAGAAGAAGGGTGGGAAAACTGCCTGTGTTTTTGTACTAAATCAGTTTGAAACACTAAAAACATTTTATTATACATTTATTCAACAGGTTTCTAATTATTCAACCTGAAATACTGAGGCTAATAGTGCTTACATCACTGAGGCAACAGCAGGCAGTAAACATGTTTATAGTAAACATATGTGTGGCATCAACACTGCTATGTTCATACGTGCCTGTTTTTATTAGTACGATCATGTACGGCAGAGAAAAATACATTTAAATGTAAATATGGCACAAAAATTATGATTTCCATTTTAACCTCATATTTCACTGTTAATCCATATATGATCCTCCTGCAAAAAGTTATCAGAGCGGCATTGGATGTGCTACAGCCAACTGCTGCTGCTAATGGAGTTGTGAGTTGTAAAAAACAAAAAAACATCAATTTTATTTTCTACAGCTGTCATCAAATGTTTTGGTATTCTTACTCAAAAACTAAAAATGCACATATCTCTAAAATGACTTGAAATATACAAAAAGTTTACTGTCCATCCATCCATCCATCCATCCATCCATCCATCCATCCATCCAACAATCTTTTTACCTGCTTTTCTGTGCTGGGTGAAGGGAGTATGTGCATATCTTTAGTGATTGTTGTGTGAGGGGCATACTCTTGTTTATTCAACATTTTACATAAGTCAGACTTTGCTTTTGATTATTAATTCCATTAAGTATTTCAGATAAATAAAACAATTAAAATGACACATTTAATGTTTTGTTGCAGCATATTTTGCAGCAATCACTGTCAAGGAGTAATTTACTATGCATTCACGTCTGCGTTTGCCTGCAAGTAGTTTGACCCACTTTTTCTGAGGAAAACCTGTCAAGTTGTCCAGTTTGATGCTGGGTGCATCTACTCTGAAGTTTTCAGATGTTTCCTCAGATGTTCGATGTGAATATGAACTAGTATCATGGAGGGCCTTTGATGTTTTAGTGTTTTATCACTGACCTGGCAGCTGTGGCTGAGTGGTTAGAGCAGCCGTCCTCCAATGCAAGAGTTGGGGGTTCGAACCCACCGGCAGTCACATGCCGAAGTGTCCATGGACAAGACATTGAACCCCTCATTGCCTCCAATGTGTGTCCCATCGGTGTATGAATGTGATAAAGCACTGATCAGTCTCTTTAGAATTATTTGTTCAATTAGCTTTGTAGAGATCTTGTATAGTGCTGTAAGAATGGGTAAATGAGGGCACAGATTATTGTGTAAAGTGCTTTGAGTATCTGGATAAGATAGAAAGGTGCAGCCCATTTTATTCTCAGCCAATATTCATGTTTTTAGCTGCAAGTTTTGTGTCATTATCTTGTTGGAGGACCCATTACTTGTGAATAAGGAATAATACAGATACAGATATTCTTTGTTGTCATTCGCACCACATGTGGTACATGTGGTGGAACAAAATTATGTACACAGGGTCCCAGTTACATCCAACAATAAAATGTAAAAGAAAAACAGTAACAAGATCTAAGATATGAAGTAAAACTATGAACTACAAACCGGATTCCAAAAAAGTTGGGACACTAAACAAATTGTGAATAAAAACTAAATGCAATGATGTGGAGGTGCCAACATCTAATATTTTATTCAGAATAGAACACAAATCACAGATCAAAAGTTTAAACTTGAGAGAATGTATCATGTTAAGGGAAACATCTGTTGTTTCCAAATTTCATGGCATCAACAAATCCCAAAAAAGTTGGGCCAAGTCCATTTTTACCACTGTGTGGCATCCCCCCTTCTTCTTACAACACTCAACAGACGTCTGGGGACAGAGGAGACCAGTTTCTCCAGTTTAGAAATAGGAATGCTCTCCCATTCATGTCTAATACAGGCCTCTAATGTTCAATCATCTTGGGCCTTCTTTGTCGCACCTTCCTCTTTATGATGCGCCAAATGTTCTCTATAGGTGAAAGATCTGGACTGCAGGCTGGCCATTTCAGTACCCGGATCCTTCTCCTACGTAGCCATGATGTTGTGATTGCTGCAGAATGTGGTCTGGCATTATCGTGTTGAAAAATGCAGGGTCTTCCCTGAAAGAGATGACGTCTAGATGGGAGCATAAGTTGTTCTAGAACCTGAACATAGTTCTCTGCATTAATGGTGCCTTTCCAGACATGCAAGCTGCCCATGCCACAAGCGCTCATGCAACCCCATACCATCAGTGATGCAGGCTTCTGAACGGAGCGTTGATAACAACTTGGGCTATCCTTGTCCTCTCTGGTCCGGATGACATGGCGTCCCAGTGTTCCATAAAAAACTTCAAATCGTGACTCATCTGACCACAGAACAGTCTTCCATTTTGCCACACTCCATTTTAAATGACCCCTGGCCCAGGGCAAACGTCTGAGCTTGTGGAGCTTGCTTAGAAATGGCTTCCTCTTTGCACTGTAGAGTTTCAGCTGGCAACGGCGGATGGCACGGTGGATTGTGTTCACTGACAATGCTTTCTGGAAGTATTCCTGAGCCCATTCTGTTATTTCCTTGACAGTGGCATTCCTGTTTGAGGTGCAGTGACGTTTAAGGGTCCGGAGATCACGAGCATCCAGTAGAGTTTTCCGGCCTTGACCTTTACGCACAGCGATTGTTCCAGATTCTCTGAATCTTTTGATGATGTTATGCATGGTTGATGATGATAACTTAAAAGTCTTTGCTATTTTACGCTGGGTAACACCATTCTGGTATTGTTGCACTATATTTCTGCGCAGCAATTGTGAGATTGGTGATCCTCTTACCATTTTGGCTTCTGAGAGACACTGACACTCTGAGAAGCTCTTTTTATAGCCAATCATGTTGTCAATTGACCTAATTAGTGTTAATTGGTCTTCCAGCTGTTCGTTATATGCTCAATTTCCTTTTTCCAGCCACTTATTGCTACTTGTCCCAACTTTTTTGGGATTTGATAACACTGTGAAATTTTGAATCAACATATTTTTCCTTTAAAATGTTACATTTACTCAGATTAAACTTTTGATCTGACTGTCGAGCTACCGACAGACAAACAGGAAATGACACAATACGTCGCACCACGAACATGCAACGTCACACCACAAGGGACCGGCACAGAGTCTGCAGTTGTCCAACTCCCACACTGAAGGGGTCTGACTTACTTCCGGCAATGTGAACCAAGCTCTCGCACAGGCTTCTATAGAGACTGAACAGCCTATAACAACAGGCCCCCAATCCCATACTCACAGAGCACCCCCCACAGTGTACCCCGAGGGACACGGTCGAATGCCTTCTCCAAGTACACAAAACACATGTAGATTGGACGGGCAAACTCCCATGACCCCTTGAGGATCCTAGTGAGGGTAAAGAACGGGGCGGCTGTGGCTGAGTGGTTAGAGCAGTTGTCCTCCAATGCGAGAGTTGGGGGTTCAAATCCACCAGCAGTCACATGTCGAAGTTTTCCTGGGCAAGACACTGAACCCCTCATAGCCTCTGATGTGTGTCCCATCGGTGTATGAATGTGATCTAAAGCACTGATTAGTCTCTTTAGAATTATTTATTCAATTAGCTTTGTAGAGCTCTAGTAGAGTGCCGTATGAATGGGTAAATGAGGACACAGATTGTTGTGTAAAGCACTTTGAGTATTGAAGAATTTGGGGTGTTCAAATGACCCGAGCACAGAATTTCAGGAGCACTTCACCTTAGTATACAAGATTTAATTGAGACAAAGTTAAAGTATGCAGATATTACATGATTCAGAGTGCAGTCTGAGGAACAAAAATCAGAGCAAACCTTGCCTTGGTCAATCTGACGATGTTTGTTCAACCAAACTTTGTGTCTGAGCGAGATTTATAGGTTTCTCATGTCCCGCCCTTTCGGGTTCGGACAGACTTGTGATTGGGTGTCAAAACCTCTTGATGGTCTGAGTGACACCCTGTTCAGCCAGTCAGGAGCAGATCTTATCCATGGTTACTCCAGACGGCCTTGCTCATTCTGTCACTGATAAGGGTTGATTTACGAGCTTTGTTTTGGAACACAGGACACTTACTCTGGCTCTCGTCTGTGTAAAGCTTTAAAACACGTTTTCTGTGTGTCTGAACTATTATTAATGTGAGAGCATAAATACTCCATATGTTTTGAGTATAAAGTATATGAATGTTTGTGTTTTAGTGTTATTTATGTTTAATCAATGTGTACGCCATGTGTCACATTGCTGGGCCCTCACTCTCAGCTGCTCTGCTCAGATGAACAAAGAAGGATCGTTTCCTGCTGCACGAATAAAGATCTTACCTGTCTCTGTTTACTTGTATGATTATACTTAGCACTTGTAAGATTATATATAACATGGAGTAATTAGTGTATGATTATACACGCACATACCTTGTAGAAAATGCATCATTTCACATCATCAAAGAAATGTCAAGGCTTGTCAAAAGATATAAAAGATATCAAATCCAACACACCCTCTTTTGGTCTCCCCATATTTATGGGAGACCACACCACGTATGATTTGATTTTACAGATATTTTGATTCTTCCCACTCCAGGTGGCTCTGATCATCTGCGGAGGTGTCACCTGAGTGTTGCATCAGCGTCATAACATTAGCGGTTTCAGTCTCAACCTGAATCATTCTACGAATGATCATTCTAGCACAAGGTATAATAACAATCATCAAAACACAAAAAATAATAAGAATAGCAGTCACGGGGGCCAAAATCTTTAGCACAATCTGACTCCAAGAACCGCTCGTGAACCAAGACAGAAACTTCCACGATCCTGAAGAAGGATCCT